TGTGTGTGTGTGTGTGCATTCGGGACAGGAGATCTCACCCTCTACGCCTGCTGCCATCATAAACATTTTGTAGGTTGTGTGAAGAAGCTGTCTTCCCTTTAAATTGTCTGCAGGGGGAAAAAAACACAAGAATGAGAGGTGATTGAGGTGTGTGTATGTGTGAGTCTGTTGGTAGGAAAAGAGATAAAGAGGATGGAAATATGCTAACAGATGGTGAAAGAGAGCGAGAGAGGTACAGGGTGAGAGACAGACTGAAAGAAGAAAAGAAAAAATAGACAAGGGAATGTGCCAGATAAATGAGGGGAGCGACCATTAGTATGCATCCATCTTGTGAGGCCTGTCTCTAGATGAGGCCTTATACATCTTCTCCATCCTCTCCCTAATCTGGGAGGAAATATTTTAATGTGTATTTAAGCAGGCAATTTTATTACCAAAACACTCCTACAAACAGCAGTCGCCCGGGGGAAGATTTACAGCGGGAGGAAAGACCATAAACGTTCACACACACTCATAGCTGCCTTGTATAACCACAGGCCAGCCAAATGCTGCAGGATCCTACTGTGACTTCCTCATTGGTACTCTAATTTCTCCCAAAAATGAAAATCCTGTCATCTTTTCCTGACTTCAATGTTTTATAACCTTTTCCCCATCTCTAATAATCTGCATACATTTGTCATTGTGAATATTGTTTATTATGTAGAAGTGCCTTCAGGCCTTTTCCCTCTATTTGGACAACACTCTACACTGTTATTTTTATGTCTTTTGATTATAACTAGTCAAAACTCAAGCCTCCATGTCAGTGAATATTCCAATGAAGCTGGCAGCAGTATACACACAGTGAAGATACAGCAGTTCATTTAAAGCCTTCTCCCAATCTGCATTAAATCATAATAAGATTTCAGCACAATCCAAGAGTCAAAATATATATTTGCACCTCATTATGTAGCTTTATTCCTCTGCAGTATGGCAAGCAAAGCAAGTAATAAAATTCCCTTATAACCCCCTGTATTTAAACTTATGAAAGGTCCACTTCCATTTCCAACCAGTGTGCTCTATCACTTTTTGATCCATGTGACTATAAAACAGTTGGTTTAAGGATTTTAAAGGATATTTTATGCCAGTTCTGGAGATTAATATTTCACTTTAAAGGATCAGTTCAGCAAAATTAAGTATTATCTCATGTAGCTCACTAACTGTATTCGGGTGGAAAACTCAGAAACAGATATTTCAATGTCCTGGTCAATAAAACCAACAGTACTTGCACAGCACTTCCTGAAGGTTTGGGAAATAAAGATTAAATGGAGGAAAAGAAAAAGGCTTTTCTCTCATGTATTCTCTTTTATTTGTGAAATACTGGAGGCATCTAAAAATACTTGAAAATCTCCACATTAAAAAAGGTCCTAACCTATGATGTTGGGTTATTGGTTAATTTGAAAGGGTAACAAGCCAAAAAGGTAGGGAACCACTGCACCAGAGCTTTTGTTCTCAGCTGCTTCGGGTTATTTGAGCTGTGACCTTCGTGTGACAAACTCGCTTCACTAACCTTAAGGCTACCACTACCTTCTCCATTCAATCGTTCACCTTTACACGAAAACCCAACCCCGCTCTCGCCATTCCGCTCACTCCTGCTCTCTCATGCGCTGTTCTGACAAACTCCCAGCCCTAAGAAAAGATAGGCACATGCTCCACCTTGAAGAACATGAAGACTTACTCGCATCCCATCAAGAAAACATGTGGATTTTATAATAGATTTGAGAAAAAGGGCACTCAATGACTTCTGCAGGCTTTGAAAGTTGAATAAATTGGCTTGTTCGTGGAAAAGGAGGGAGAAAGAGAGACACATTAAGTGAAAAAGGCAGTACTTACAGGCAAAGTAGCAGGACAGGAGGAACACCATGGAGAAGATGACCAGGAACGTTATGTCCGTCTCCAGGATTCCTGTGGATAGGGGGGTGGAGGAAGTAGAGGTGGAAACAGAATAATAATGATATAATAACGAGATAGAAAGATGGAAAAAAACGGGATGGTGGGAAAAGGAGAAACAAAAAGGTACAAGACAAAAGGTGAAATCAAAGCCAGAGTGTAAAGCAGTCAATGAGGTTTAGAAAATATCAAGGTGAAGAAGAAAGGGAGAAAAAAAAACAGGATTGACCGATCCATAGAGGCAGGTATAAGGTGAGGATATTGGATTAGTTAAGAGAGAGAGAGTCGCAGTAGGGG